CACACACACACAAACACACACGCACACACACACACGCACACACACACACACACACACACACACACACACACACAAACACAAATACACCAAGGAAAAACAATAAGAAGCACCCAAGTAAAGAAGGGCAGAACAAAGCAGAGAAGATCTTGATTTGTTGACAGTAGTAGAAGAAAAATTGGATAGAAGCGGAGACATAGAAGTTCGAAGGTTATCTAAAAATCTCCCCAGAGGCCGGCACGCTGTCTCGTTCCTCCAAACCACTGTGCGTACAGATTTCAGAATACAGTACACCACCACCTAAAGGACGCAACTTTTTATTCCGTCCCCCTCCCACACACACGCACACTCATCCCCCCAAAAAATCAGGGATTCTAAGTCTCTCTACGTCTTATTGTAAAAATGCTAACTAAGAAACCCCGTAGAAAATCCAGTAGGCGTCTTTTCAAAGAAACGAAGTACATGGACCAGCAAAAAAACACCTTTTTTAAATAAATTTTACTAAAACCCACAAAAGCTTTGGTTTTATTTTTTTAAGTATTAGTTTATTAATTACAAATACACAAACAAGGCTGATGGAGCTTGCCATATAATAATTCCAGTTTCTTATCCGATAAACGTAAAAATTTATACCCAAATTTTGGTTTCAAGTCCACTCGCATCTTATCCACAAATTAATGAGTGCTATACGCGACTATGTACAGTAATTTTCATTATAACCAGGACCACAGAGCAGCTTCTGTGGTGTAGCGGTTAGAGACCTCGCGTCATCACAGAAGTGCTGAGCTCAATTCTCAAATTGAAAGAATTTTTATCGAGCATTTATCTGCTAGGACAGTGAGTCTTTTTCGGCCTGGATTGGCCCTAACAGTCGAAGCCCGCCTCCCAAATGATCAAAATTGTGTCAATGGGGGCGTAAAAACACCCAGGTTATTAAAACCCATATGTGAGGCAGCGGGGTGGAATCAGGCTCTCGTCAAAATAATCAAAGTGAAGAAACTTGCATTTTTCTGCAGGTTTGTGAATTTTTATCAACTTTTGGGGTTTTTTTGGCTCAACACCTTTTATGCCCATTAAAGAACCCATTTTTGTGTTTATATTTCTGAATAACATTGATTAAAGGCACAAAAAATGAAAATTTTCAGTTACCACGGACTCTTAAGCTAAGGAATTAACTCATCTTTGGCGGCCATTTTCTCACTAATTTTACCTCTGAAAACAGGTGACCCCCACCTCCTTCTTTTGCAAATATCTTGACTTGTATTCAAGATAAATGGATATTTTTTCGATTCAAATAAAGACAAGTGAACAAACTTTAATATAATACCAATAACTCTATATTTCCAAAAATTGACGAGAGCCTGATTCCACCACGCTGCCCCACATATCCAAAAACAATAGAAGGAACGATAATGGAGATAATCCAAACAAACATGTTGAAAAGTATAAACAACAACAACTAAATCATCATGGTCTATTTCGGGAAATACAAAAGGACAGTAATGGATCTCAGTTTCCTAAGCGTGATAGATCGAGTTCAGTTACGGTAATTTTGTTTTTGAATTTCTTATTTCTTTCATTTGCCTTGTTCTTGGGAAGACAGAAATAGGGAAAAGGTCTCTTGACTTGAGAATTGATAGGTCGGCCAACCAGTGGCTGTATGAAACGAAGAGTTTGGTTTTCCTTATCTTTTGCAGAACACATCCACTCCCAAAATATTTTTTTTTAGTCTGGGCCTTCCTTAAATAACTTTTAAATGTTATATCTAAGAAAGCATTGACCTAATCCTGTCGGCTCCTTGACCCAGCCCTTAAACCTGTGATGTTGTCCAAGCGAAGCCGTTGCGCGTCTTCACAAGCCTCCCCAACTGTGAAATATGACCTTTCACAGAGGATTGTTATTCGTCTGTCTGTCTGTCTGTCAGTCAGTCTGTCTGTCGGTCTCTCTCTCTCTCTCTCTCTCTCTCTCTCTCTTTCT